GCCATTTGGCCAGTGTTGATGTCTTCTCTAGTGAAAGCTTTGTAAACACTAAATCGGACATCTAGTAGATGGGTTTCATAATGCCAGGAGATGGCTGGGTGAATGTTAAAAAAGAGTTTGTATCTAAGGTCAGAAAAGAGTGTGAATTATGTTACAGGGTAAAGTAGCCTGGTCCTAAGATGAATGGTTAAGGATGCTGACACCAGCTGTAAATTACTGGGTGTTAGAACGCCAGGAAAGAGAGAGGCACATGGAAAGGGCTTCCAATATGAAGCAGAAGAGATTGTGTAAGATTAAAAGACTCTTTAAAGTAACACAAAGTTCTTTCTTGATCTTTCCAACTTACTATCCAAGACAAGAAGTCCGTGTGATTATTTTTCTGTTCTTTCAACATGGTTCTTGTTCATTGCTTTTCCTGCTTTTCTTAAAGGCAAGTCAGCCTCTCCAAAGCTAAGCAGGGAAGATGCTGTGATCAGCACAGTTGATTCAGCACAACAAGACAGAAATGGGTAAACAGCAGGCAAGGATGGAGGCACTAAATCTCATCCTGCCTTGCTCTTTGCCTATGTGGGGCTGCAAACACATGGAATATCTGTGCAACATCTGGTTTCTCCATTTCACCATTCATGCTGTAACAGCATGTGGGACATTCAAATGGGCATGGAGGTTATAGCAATGCTTTCTTCATTATTAGCCCTATGTTTACTCTTCTGAAGGCTTTGGGTTTGGAGATAAAAGGTGAAAAGGAGGCCGAGGACTAGAAATCTAGCTAAGTCATGAGTCAATGCAATTCCCAAGTTCCTGGTATCCAAGAACTATCTCTGCCCCAACTGTGGGGTTTGGAGATAAAAGGTGAAAAGGAGTCCGAGGATTAGAAATCTAGCTAAAAGTCATGAGTCAATGCAATTCCTAAGTTCCTGGTATCCAAGAATTATCTCTGCCCCAACTGTCTCCTAGAAATGCAGATAGGAACAAAACAGTTTAACTGAATTTAATCAGGGCAAATCCTCTCCTTGTAAATCTGTTTTTGTGGGTATGTGTAGATGGCCCAAAGAAAAATTCTATGTGTTTGACTATGTATGTCCTTTTATATATCCTTATAACTATGTATCAACCTGCTTTAGTGATTTCAGGTCCTCCTAACCCTGAAGGATCCATTTGCTTCACGCTAAATAAAACAGAGTATTTTTCTGTGTACAATAAGGATGACAGTATGCTGCATATATACTTATGATATCATGACATTTCAATGTTAAGTTCCGGTATGAATTTATTTTATGCATAAATGTATAAATAAGGTGTGAGCATGACTGCATAATAATATATGAAACCTATCTCTAATGGACCTAATTCTTGGCTGGGGACTCTCGATTCTGTAAAAGAGCTAATAATAATAATAAACTTTTATTCCAGAAGCCACAGCACTGCAACCAAGATGTCATACACACATGGCAGTCAGATAAGACAGAGGGAATACTTGTTTTCCACTGAGATTACTTTGAATTCGCCCTGGCAAGGCTGACTCACCCTTTTAGCTTTCCAAGGAAGATAAATTGCTTTCCAGGAGCTTCACGGTGTACAGGTTATTTCTGAGCAGCTTCCTTAATTAAGGTTTATCTGCTGCGTGTGTAATCCACAGATGAAGAGCCCTTGTCTCTTCTGATGAGAACAGAAGTTTCCTCCTGAACAATCTGTTTCTCACCCAACCCATTCTTATACAACATGACATACATACTAGCTGAATCCTGTGTCCTAGCCTCGAAGTAGCTGCAAGCCAGTAGCCTGAATATATGCCATTTCAAATGTCCAAGATGCTTCACGCAGAGGGAGATTGAATAGAAATGGAATTCCTGAATGGCACTAAAAGCAACCCAGGATGGCACCTGCTATTAGTGCCTTTCCTTCAGCCATGACCTTAAACCCTACCTCTACCCCAGCCTCACATTTCTTATCTTTTATATCTGAAGGAATGCTGAAAGCACCCTGTCAGAAATACAATTTGCAATTTCGATCTTTACGAGCTGGCAAGAACTCAAACTGATGTCATCCCAACTGGGATAAGAGGACAATGATGTCATCCCTATAGCAAAGGGCCCTCTTAGCCTTGTAAATGCAGTAGGTGAAGGTGAGAGCATCCATGGAGGAAAAAAAGAGTCAAGAAAGTCAGGCAGGCCCTGCAGTGCACTTCAGTCACACTCGCCAGGATTTTGTCTGTCAGAAGAGCAGGAGAACTGACTCTGGGACTTATCCTGCCCTGGCCTGCTAGCAACAGGAAGGAGATAAGCCTTTGTAGGGCTGCTGATGAGCCCCAACTCTGCTGGGGAAAAAGTCGCAGAGGCAAGATCACACTTCATAAAAGCTGTCCTAGGGGCAGGAGGGGATGTGCACTGTGTGTTTTGCATTTTCTAGTTGTTTTGCAGGAATCAGAATATGGAACCGGGCTTTAAGGATCTTGTGCTTATACCTGAGTTTTCTTTCCAGTCTTTCCACACTGCAGCTATTTGAAACTGGCCACAGACCCTAGGTACCTTGGTTGCACCTTTCTCTCAGCATCACACAGTGCTAGGGTATAGGTAGCGTATGTTCGTGTTGCTGTAGCTTCCATGTGCTGCAGTCCTGCTCAAGCTCTCCTGAAGACTGCTAGTCCGGGTATCCAGTAGTAATGTTGCCACGGCAACACAGGACTTAGCACAAACAGCAAAACCTGCCTCAGGAACAAGATAAATGAACTTGTGTAGACTCCATCTTACTCTGTCTGGCTCACAACTCTTCTTTGGCTAGTTTAAAGCTACCTCTGATATGTTTCTATCTCCATGTGGACCTGTGCTGAAATGATACTGAAGAGCTTATCCTAGACACTGAATAAAACAAGTTCAGAGTTAGCTATGCAGGCAAAAGAGGAGGTTATAGACACACATATATATATATATATATATGCATATAAATGGTTACAGTATGCTAATGTGTTCATCATCCCTACATATAGACATCACCTGCTGCCTGACAAGCTGGCATTTACATGAAAGCCCACTTTCCATGCCATATCACTTAAAGAACTCGGAGAAGAGCAGATATAAAAGCTCTGCTCTGCCCTTATGATAGGCACAACAACCATTTTCTCCCTTTGTGTAGGCAGAAGCAGGAAAATTCCTAATGGTGAGTCTTATATGTTAGTATCAGTTAATATCCATTCACAAGCTTTTTCACTCTGCCCCTGTGGCAGCATGGTGGCACCTGGTCTCAAACCCAGACTTGTGTCCTGGTGTGTTCACACCTGTCCTGCACAATTGTGTGGAGAGGCTGGCTTCCCTGGAGATGTGGGGCTGGCCTTTCCTTGGACATCAAGTCTCCTTGAGCTCACCATTTACTTGAGGAAGAGAGAAGGAGGAGCCACTGTTGCTCAGCCTGCCCTTCAGCATATCCTGCTAGTGCTAATGTGATCCTGTTTGTGTGCAGCTGCTGGGCAGGGAGCCCTGTGCTTGTAGAGAGCCTGGAGAGATGTGGTGGGGAGCAGCTCTGGCATGACGAAGCCGAGTGTTGCGTTCACTCATACTGTTTTGCTCACACGTGAATGCCTTTCCATGTTTCATGCCTGTGCTCATGCTCAACAATTGTCACTAGTGTTCACGTGCAGTGTGTTACTCAGTGGCTGCTGCTGGGGTGGCCAGTCTTACCTCCTCAGCTTTGCAAGTGTGATGATTCCAGTCCTATGCATGTGTACTGCAGTGGCTTCTTCTCTGTTATTACTGCTGGACCTTTTTTTGAGTTTATTTATCAACCATGTCCTCTGCCTGCCATTCTGGTGCTGGACCTTTCCCCAGATGGTATCTCTCAGTAGCAATGGCCTAAGAAGTTATTTTCCTCTTTACACTCATGAATAGATGCTTGCTATCTTTTTCAGCCAGCGCATTTTCTTTCTTTTGTGACCTGAGCCAGTGCTGGAAGCCAGCTGGAGACAGCAAAGAGGCCAGTGGCTCTGCTCTTTTGCATGATTCCCATTGGGAATATTAATAGAAGACTGTCCTTTCATCATTATGCAGCTGAGCTGTTACTGGCTCATGAATTGGTGAATTATTGGGATGAAACACGGTGGTTTCAGTAGGGGTTTACAAGCCAAGGTCTTTCTGCAGGCCTCCTGTAGCAGACCTGCAGAAAGCACAGGTTCTGCCTTGATCCTTTCTAAGACTTTAAGGAATGACTTAAGGCACACAAGCACGGGGAATGCCAGTTCTTTGTTACAAGGCTGAATTCCACCCAATAATCAGAGAAATAACAATAATCTGCTAAAATTGGAAATACTGATATCTATCTGCCGATTATTCCTTCACGGAAGGCATGAGTGGAGGAACAGAGGCAGTTCTTGAAGCACCTGCAGGCAGGGCATTTGAGCGGTGTACATCATGTGAACATCTGTGTTTGTGTGACTGTGCATCCACAGTGGAGCATGTAGCAGTGCTCTTCTGTGTTGGCAGTCCTGAGCCAAAAAGCTATAAAGGACCCAATGCTCAGTGCTCTTGGAGTCACACACCTGTGAAGCATGGTGTCATTAAAAAGAAACAAAGAATCGAAGGCACAGGGTGGGTTAGGGAGAGACTCTGAGAATAACTCAAGGGAAATTGAAAATGACCAGGGGAAAAAAAATGGTGCATTTCGGGATGGATGGGAACATAAATAGTTGGAATAAATAGAGACAACTCAGCTGGTCTGAGTCTTTCCAAGCTGCCAACATGCTCTCAGCATTGCTGACTGAGATGATGAGGTGCTTTAAATTCCTTTGCAAAACCCCTCTTTCTGTCCAGCCCCTTTACTTAATTACAGCCACCTGGTTGCAAGTCCATGCTAAATTGAAAGACTATTTCAAAATTTGCCTCTTGTTAGCAGGAGAGGAAGGTGGGACATTCACCATACAACCAGAGCCTAGGCAGACCTGCAGAAGACTTGGAGAGCTCCTGACTCATCTCTCTGTTTTCTCCTTTTCTCTCCCCATTTTTTCTTCAAAGGTTGAAAAGAATGAGGATGGGGACCAAAAGATTGAGCAAGATGGCATCAAACCAGAAGATAAAGCTCATAAGGCAGCCACCAAAATCCAGGCCAGCTTCCGCGGACACATAACAAGGAAAAAGCTCAAGGGGGAGAAGAAGGGCGACGCCCCGGCCTCTGAGACGGAGACTGCGGACAAGAAGGAGGAAGGCCCTGCCGGCGGAGCCGCCGAGAACCAGGAGAGCGAGGCACCCGCCGCCACAGATGCTGTGGCTGCTGACAGTGCCCAGGCAGAGGAGGGCAGCAAAGACAGCAGCGCAACCGCGGAGGAGAAAAAGGGGGATGGAGCTGCTGACACGGGCTCAGAGCAGTCAGCCCCACAGGCTGCCACTCCTGCGGCCTCCTCGGAGGAAAAGTCCGCTGCTGCCGCCGCCGAAACAGAAAGTGCCACTAAAGCTTCCACTGATAACTCGCCGTCCTTGAAGGCTGACGAAGCCCAAGACAAAGAGGAGCCTAAACAAGCCGACGTGCCTGCTGCTGACACCACTGCCACCACCACCCCTGCCGCAGAGGATGCTACTGCCAAGGCAACAGCGCAACCCCAAATGGAGACAGTGGAGAGCAGCCAAACCGAAGAGAAGACAGGTGAGTGAATGACAGGCCTTCATGTCTCCCTTGGTCTCCTGGGGGTTCTCTGAGGTCGATCTGCAAGGGCAAGTGCAGGGATCAGAATGGGAATTAACAAGGTAACCCCCTTGCTGTGGTTTAGGGGAGGGAGAGATGCAAGTTGTTGCTTAGCATGCTCTCCTCTGCTTCCCAGAAGCTTTTGGAAATACTGCACCTTCTCTGGAGGCTCATATTCCTCCAGTGGAAGTGTCATCCAGCCCATTCTGCATGACTGCAGGAGAGTGTCAGGCTCACCAGAGGATACCAAGTTGAACTGGAAATTTCATGAGAGAAAGACTCTTTCATACTGCACCCCATCCTTGTCAATGGGATGATCAAGAAAGAGCCCCAAAGGCCTTTTCTTTTCCATCTGCCTGTGAACGGATGATACTGCTCTTACAACCACAAGCTAGTAAGGAACATCTTGTTATCAGTATTATCTGTAGTCTTATCCACTCCAGTACTCTATCCCCTGTTCTTAAGAGTAGCTGATGACAACCGCATGTATCATTTGCATGAAGCTTTTACACATGTGTCAGCTGGGTCAGACTTGCATGATAAGAGGATCAGGTAGGGAGAGGAAAGATTAAAGGCCCTGACAGCTCTGTGAATGAGGATAGAAGAGAAGACTGAATGCAAACAATCACTCCAGGAGGTGTTTTCAGTTCTTCTTTGTTCTTGCCTGAGCTGCAACTCTGCTTAGCTAGTTCCCCTGGGAAGAGGTGAAAAGTTTGGAGAGGCAAAAGTGATCCTCTTTGACAGTGGCAGTACTGGCAAACTATAGAGAAGAGCTGTTACTCAATTGTAATGCTGGTTTGGGTAGAAAAAAAAAGCATGAAAGACCTGAAGACACTTTTGCTCTTGCTCTTTCCTTTCTATGAAAGACATATTATGTTAAAAAAAAAAAAAGGAGGAGGAAAAAAAAAGATATTATCAGAGGTAATCACCATCTAAAACTTGACCAAGCAGCAGTACCAAACTGGGCTCCCCATGCGTGAGACTGTCAGTAGCAGACTGACATTCTTCATTCATTAGTTTGTTGGGTCGGAGGATTGGAATATTAACTTGATATTCCAAGATGAACCAAGCATCCTGATGTGAAGATTAGTCCCTGCATGTAGTTTTGCACTTGTTGATGTTTCTCCTTCACACCATTTGGTCCACTGCTTCTCTTCTCCAAATGATAATTCCCACTCTCTTAATTAGACTTCCAATCTTCATATCTAGCTCAGGGCTTCTGATCTCTCTTGTGTTGTTTTAGAAAGAATAGGTAAGAATTGAGAGCAGTGCTCACACAGACCATTGTGGTAGACCAAGGGCTGAAGAGTTTGAACCTAAACCAAAAGCACACTAGAAAGGAATGCTTGTTTTATCTCCTTTCATTTAAACATTTCTAGAGTTAATGCTTAAACTCATATCCTCTAAATTGCTTTTTTGCGGTCTAGAACTCCTTCCCTTTGTTCTTATTTTGTATGATGAGTTGAGTGAAAAAACAAATGTTAAGCTATGTGGGAGTGATTTGAGAAATCCAATTTGATATGTTGCATGCTGTACCTGCCTGATTTGTTTATATATATATATGGGCAAAAATGTATCAATGGTAAATATAGGACATCGTGAATCAGTGTTTTGGGGCTGTGAGTACACAGAAGAGAATATTTGAATAACAAATGATAGATTCTTATTTAAGATTTGAAATGCCTTGTTCATAAACAGGAATGGTGATTCTGCTTTGAATTAACACACAATTTTTATCAAGATTAATCTGTTGTAATGGATGGAGACAGGAAATGCATAGGAATGGCTATCTGTTTCATTTTACCTTTTTTCAGTTACTAGTCATCAAATAATAATTTCTATTCAGTATTCTTAATTATTTGCAAATATCTCCTGCTTGCTTTTGTTGGCCTTCATACCATTTGTAGTGGGAACATTACAATTTAATATGCATTTGCATATGATACTGTAATTTATGTAAATATCTAGCCAACAGAGTAAGTTGCAAAATCTACAACCAAATATATAATTAAAATGAGCTCTCAGTGATTGTTTGAGTGTTCAAAGCAAGCACGTGCTTCCATTCATACTCACTCAATATTCATCTAGTAATATTCAAGCTTCCAAAAGTTTGCAGAAAGCAAACATATAACGTTTGTGGCCACAGTCAAACAGGTATTATCTGTACAGTGTTAATGAATACAACGTTAAAGAATTCCCCCTCCACCACCACCCCCAAACTCCTAGCACAGTGCAGTATCAGCCTTCTGTTCACAAACTTGGATGGCTGGGGAGGCAATCTGGAGCCATCCAAGGCAGAAATGGAGAAAGGGCTTCTCGTCCAGCTCTCTGAGGAGGACGAGTTGGGTTCTGCTATATGTTCTATGGTACAATGTCCATACTACTATTAAACTGTTCCATCTTTAAAGAATCTTCCACAGAAGAGCATTATCATCATATAAAATGTCTCACAGCCAGGACACTATTTCCTGATATAAAGCCTATGTTCTCTCCTGCTTAATGATTTTCCTATGATTTCCTCTCATCTCTTTAAAACCGTTTGTTCCTTTCTTGGTACTTACTACCTCTGCAGGCTCAAAGGCATTTGCCATGCCTTGCTCTTTCTCCCAGGCACCTCCTGACCCTCAGAAAGCACAAAACTTGTTGTTGCCAGCAGAGCTGTGGTGGTTTGGTCATCCACGAAAGAGGGAGGCCTACCAAACATCTGCCACTTCAGTACTCCTCCAGTGTGGGGACAGATCTGCTTTCAGCTTCATGAGTCCCCTTCTCCAAGAAGTCATCCCCTTGGCTTTCAAAGGTCATCTCTTATCGTTTCTGTGATTGAAGACTGGCACAGTAGTGTGCAGTGTCAGGCTGCCAAAAATAAATCAAACTGGCCCCCCGCCAGTGTCACGGGTTGGCGGGTTGCCATGGCATGCTTGGCTGCTACTACTGTGAGGCATGCCGGCCATGCTACTTTTGTGCAGTGATGTTCATCTGCCTTGTATTTTGCTGTGGTGACTGCATCATTTTAGCTATGTACGTCTTCCTTGGTGAGAGCAGAAGCAAAGGTTAAGCACATTTCGTTTACATCCTTGAGAGCATTTTTGCCTTCATCTAAGGACAGGAAAAAAGATGGAAAGAGAGGAGAGGACTGAGTAACCAGATAGAAATACATGTTTTTTAATGTTCAATATTTAACATTTCTGGAGTAGGGGAGAAGCTGGGCTATTCTTCATACTAGTATGAAGCAAAGTGGATGGATTCCAATCAGGTTAAACTATGAAATGAGTTAATGGGCTTCAACTGGGGGCTGCGGCATTCGATGTAAGTAGGACAATCTCTTTGTACTCTTCATGCCTTTTGGGGGTGACTTGGATGCCAGGAAGGCATTCTCTTATTTGAGTGTCTTTGCCAAAACTTAGATTTATGGGCTTTTGTGTTATGATCCAACGTTTGCTTCTTCAGAGTTGGAATGATGTTTGCAGAGTCTCTCTTCAATGCCAGCCTACCCAGCAGGAGAAAATTGAGAAGTAGTAGGAGGGAATTTAGGTATTACATATGGATGAGGTGAGCCATATTCCAATCTAAGTTGCATTTGCTTAAATCTATAGAGTTTTCATCAAAGTCACTGGAAAGAGTCTACATTAACACAGTTTTAAAGTGAGATGAGCAACCGGCATAGCAGACTATCCAAGAAAATGGGATAGTGTGTGCCTTATAGGGAAGAGAGGAGGTTAATATCACAGTGTTAGGTTCTCTTTGTACTTTCACAGGTTTTTAAGGCTCTGCTCCAAATCTGGCTAGCTCTCACATCAAAAGCATTCTCAGATTGTTAGGTAAGAACGCAACAAAGCCTAGAAATGTGAAACAGTAAATTGTGCCTAAGGAAACAAATTGATCTTCTTTTGTTGGGAAATGAAGAACGCTTTCTCCTGCTTGATGAAATAGCTTTACAATGGAGCAGTTTCACAGCTGAAATGAAAAATCAGCCAGCTAACAATTGCTATACGTGTTAGCAGGCGTGCAGTTTCCTCAGGGCCCTTTATCCAGGAAGAGGAACTCTGGGAAGCACCTTCTTTTGTTCACTTCCTCAGAGGAAGTGAGTCCCTATGGATCCTTTTTCATGGTTTAGAGCTGAATCAGTTCTTTGTTTTCAGTTCAGTCAGTGTATTGATGGAAGGACAATAGTCAGTGTACCTAGGGAGCACTGGCTGTATAAAGATTTGAAAAGGGAGATTGTCTACTGTCATTTACCAGCTAGAGGATACAGGCTGCACCACGCAAGAGTATTGCAGTTGTATAACTGGAATTTTAGTCCTGACTTATGGATAGCTGGCATGAGACAGAATACCCTCACTACCATTCCGGCTTTACTGGAGCTTATCTCTTTTGCTACACCTGTCAGCTGAGGAAAGCAATACAGGCACATCCTTCTTCCCATGACTGCCTCATATGGAACAACTCTAAGGAAGCTTGCTAGTGTTTTCTTGTCTGTAGTACCAACAAGCGAAAAATAAGAGTATAGATGTGACCTGCAAAAAGGTGACAGAGTGTGCACCTAGTCCTCAGTTGCTTTGGGAAGTTGTCATCATGTCTGAATGGGATAAAACATGACCGAATGGATTGCATAGTATTTCACACCTCCTTTGCACTGGTGCACATACCCTCATATGGAACAGTGTGAGAGAAGTGAGCTACTACCTCATTTGAAAAATCATATTTGAACATAGATGTTTGAAGTATGAGAAGGCCTAGGTAGTTACACATTATGACACATTTCCCAAAGTACATGAATCCTACACACCACCTGCTATAGGCACTGGAATAGGTTTCCTGTTTTGTTGCAGGATTAAACATTGTCTCTTCTCCCATGTGTGCTTTAGTGTTTAATGAGATGCAGCTTGCCCAGGACAGGTGGGAGGTGTGCTAGTGCTGAAGAAGAACCTGCCCTCTTTTAATGAAATCTGAGATAGTATTAC